AGACTATCCTCAAATTCCTGACCTCAAACTCAAGGTCCTCCTACCTCAATCTCCCAAATCCTAGGATTAGGTGGGCTGAGATTATGTGTGCTGGGACTGCCCCCCTCCCCCCTGCAATCCTCCTTTCTGATAGGTTTATCTGAGAACTGAAGAAGTATCTTTTCCTGATGAGTCCACCTCTCTCCACATTTTCTGTATATAAACTGAGCCATTCATCCTGATTATAAATGCTGGCTTGTTTTAGATTTTGTAAACAGAATACAGTGTAATACAAGTTAGGTTGTCTTGCTCGAGAAACTACTCTGGTCTGGACTGTGGAAGGAAAACAAGCAGTTCAGTGGAACTAGGTTCTTAGGTTCTAGTCCAATTAAACTAGGTTCTTATTAGGAAAACAAAAGATAAAATGATAGTTTTAGAACTTTTATAATACAGAGCACCTGAATTATCAGATACCCTAAGTCAGGCTGTCAACTAGGTTGCTATCAGGAGGCTAAAGAACAGATTGAGGCTTGGGAGGCAGAGGCAGGCAATTTCTTTGAGGTCAAGGCCAGCCTAGTCTACAAAGAGAGTTCCAGGCCAGCTGGGGCTACAGGGAGGCCCTGTCTCAAAAAGACCAAAAAGAACAGACTGAGGATAAAAAGTGTCCATTATAACAACTGCAGTATTTTCTGCATTCTAAGATGCATTTCCCCTCACTTTCTACTAACCTGTCAGACTGGGATGCTGTCTGGCAACCGTCAGTCAGGTGGTAGCAACTGCCTGTGCATGTGCATCAAAACATGCAGCATGAGAGCCAGAGAGATGACTCATCAGGCAAAGACGCTTGCCACCAAGCCTGGTGACCTGAGTTCAGCCACTGGAACCCACATAAAGGTGGAAGGAGAACCAATTCCGAAAGTTGTCCTCTCACCCTCACGTGTGGCGCTCGCATGCGCATGCACACACACAGTCACACACATGCACACTAAAGTAAAATAAACTTGTAGAATGGCTACTAGCAGCTTGGCCATTCAATTCCCTTAAGAAATTCCTCATCACTAACATTCTTGACTGTCAGAAGTCTGGCTTTTTACTCTCCTAGCAAGCTAATAAATAATTCTGTTAGTGTGTGATGAATGCTGTCAGAAAACACAAAATAAATATTTAGGCTTTAGCCCTCTTTTTATTTATGTATTATTGTGTGTGTATGCATGACATGTGTGAGCATGTGCTAGATAGATTTAGTTGTCAACTTGACACATCTGCGTAGAGGGAATCTCAACTGAAGAACTGCTTCCATTGGACTGGCCTGTGGCCATGTCTATGGGGCATTTTCTTGAATGTTAAGTGATGTGGGAGGGCCCAGCCCACTGTGGGCAGTCCCACCCCTGGGAAGGAGGTCTTGTGTTGTACAAGAAAGCAAGCTGAGCACGGGCCGGGAGAGCAAACCAGTAAGTGGCTTACCTCCATGGTCTGTGATCCAAGTTCCTGCCCTGAGTTCCTACCCTGACTTCCCTCAGTGATAGACTGTGACCTGGGACATGTAAGATGAAATAGACCCTTTCCTCCCAAGTTGGTTTCAGTCATTGTTTTTTTGTTTTTTTTTTTGTCTTGAAAGAGAGTGCCCCTCAGACCCCCTCCCTATCCTCTGAGAAAAAGCTGCCCTCCACCTGACTCTGGAAATCCCCTTCATTGTTCAAACCCTTTCCTGGTATCTGTTTATGATTTCTATGGAAATGGTCTGGGGCAGAAGAGATAGAACATTCTGCCCCAGGTAAGCTAGCCAATGGTTGTATAGGTAAAGTCTCTGGAAACCAGCCCTAGATTGTTCCAATCCTTTCCTGGTTATTCTGTGTATAGTTTCTATGGACATCCCCTGCTCTGTGGTTTTTGTGATTTTTTCCTGCTTAAAAGCCCTGTGTTTTCACTGCTCAGGGTCACAGTACAGCTTCCAAGACTGTGTCCCCAGCTGGTTGGCCTCAATAAAGCACTTCTGTTTACTGAGACTCAGTATCCGAGTGGTCAATTTGGGGAATTCCTTGGACCCCAAACATTTTGGGGGGCTCGTCTGGGATTCCCTGAAAACCCTCAGTCTGTTTTCCTGTCTTTTTCTGCCCTCCATCTGGGACCTAGAGACTTCAGTTCTGATTCCTCCCATGGTGAGTCTGTTTTGGGTTTTGTTCTGAGTGGACTTCTGGGGGCTCAAAGGAGAGAAACTGTAACTCCAGTTCCAGGAAGACCAATGCCCTCTTCTGGCCTCTGTAGGCATTTCACACACAATGTGCACTTACACACATATAGGCAAAGTACTCATACACATAAATAAAAATGAATATTAAAAAGTCCAGCTAGCCAAAGTCATCAATATATTCAATGCAATCCCTGTCAAAATACCAACAACATTCTTCATGCACCTAGAAAAAAAATCCTAAAATTCATAGGGGAGTACAAGACTCCTAATAGCCAAGTTAATGTTGAGTGAAAAAAGCAAAGCTGGCAGCCTCACAGCACCTGATCTTTAGACAGACCTCAGAAACATAGTAACAAAACAGCACTGTATTATCACCCAGACACACTTACCAATAGAACAGACTACTCAGAAATAACCCCATACATCACAACCAATTTAGTTTGTGTTGCTTTTGTGTTTTGTTTGTGACAGGGTCTCCCTATATAGCCCTGGCTGGCCTGAAACTCAGCTGTGTAGACCTGATTGGCCTTGAAATCACAGAGATCTGCCTGCCTCTGCCTCGTGAGTGCTGGGATTAAAGGCATGCACCACCATGCCCAGCAGGCAACTGATCTTTTTTTTTTTCCTTTTTGAGACAGTTTCCCTGTAGTCCCAGCTGGTTTGGAACTCACTATGTAGACCAGGTTGGCCTTGAAGTCCCAAGATTTTCCTGCCTCTGCCTCCCAAGTGCTGGAGTTAAAAGCATTCACCACCACGCCTGGCAGGAAACTGATTCTTTTTTTTTTTTTTTTTTTTTTTTGTCTTTTTGAGACAGGGTCTCCCTGTAGCCCCAGCTGTCCTGGAACTCACTATGTAGACCAGGCTGGCCTTAAACTCACAGAGATCCACCTGCCTCTGCCTCTCAAGTGCTGGGATTAAAGGTATGCACCACCTTGCCTGGCTTGAAACTGATTCTTAATAAAGGTGCCAGGAACATAAAAAAGACAGACTTTTCAACAAATGGTGCTAGGAAAACTGGATATTTAGTGAAGATGAAACTGACCACTATTTTAAAAAACAACTCAGGGCTGGCAAAATGATTCAGCAGGTAAGGTTGCTTGCTGCCAAGCCTGATAACCTGGGTTGATCCTGTGAACCCACATGGTGGAATTAGAGAACCAAATGCCAGGAAGGTGTCATCTGACCTTTACATGTGAGTTCTGGAATGTGCACCAACACACAAAGCAATGGATAAATGTGAAAAACAACAATAATGGATCAAAGATGTTAATATAACACCTAAAATTCTAAAACAACTATGAGAAAAAATATGGAAACTACTTAAAGATACTGCTACAAGCAAGTATTTTTCTGGATAGACCTCCAAAAGCATAGAAAAGAAGAAAAAAAGGCAACTTGATTTACATGAAAGTAAAATGTTTCTTCATAGTAAACAAAAGCAGAGTCAACTTACAGAATGGGAGAAAATATTTGCCAGTTATTTATGACAGAAGACCAATATCCAGAATATTGGTAAAGAGTTGAAAATAATGCAACAAGAAAAACAAGAAAAACAGGTAATTCCGTTACCTCAGAGGATGAACTTGTACTGAGGAACATTAGGAAACACTAACTTGATTTGATGGACCTTAACATAAATGACAGAATGCATGAAATCCAGTTGGGGGGGGCTATGGGAGGGTGCCAGTGGGGAAGGAGGTATAAAGAGCACTAAGATGTTGCCTATGAAATACACAAAAATTCAATTAAAAAATATATTAAGCCAGGTGTGGTGGCACATGCCTTTAATCCCAGAACTCGGGAGGCAGAGGCAGGCAGATCTCTGTGAGTTCAAGGCCAGTCTGATCTACATAGTGAGTTCCAGGACAGCTGGGGCTACAGGGAGACCCTGTCTCAAAAAGACAGAAAAAAAAATTGGGTTACAATAACTGTAGCAAAAACTTCAGGTATCTTTCTTACTATGAGTAATGAGAAATAATAGTAAGGTAAGGTTTTGAAGACAGGGTTAAAAATTTTAAGCATTATTAATACACAAAGGATATTTACATAGTGAGTTCCAGGACAGCTGGGGCTACAGGGAGACTTTGTCTCAAAAAGACCAAAAAAGAATAAAAGGGCAAATGAGGGGCTAAAGAAATGGTTCAGTGGTTAAGAGCACTGGCTGCTCATGCAGAGGACCTGGGTTTGGTTCCCAGCACTCACATGACAGCTAACAACCATCAATAACTCTACTGCCAGGGGATCCATCGCCCTCTTCTGGCGACCGCGGGCGTTGCATGATCGGGTGCACTTACATACAGCCAAAATATTCATACACATAAAAATAAATAAGTCAAGAAAAGGGGAAAATACTCTTAATAGATATTTCTCAAGAGACGAAATATAGTCAATATAAATAAAAAACATGCTGAATAGGAAAATGCATTTCTTCAGTCTGTGGAGGGCAGTCAACCCCTTTCTTTTAGGTCTATGGAGGTCTCCTCTAGGGAGGTGACAGCCAATGGATAAGGTATGTGCTCTTAAAATAGCGCCTCTGAAAGGCTCTTTACAACACTACAATGTCCGGGAACTCAAAAGACTAGTGTCTGAGGAAGGCCTGGACCGAGCAGGTGCTGCCAAGGGACCGCTGAAGTAAGAGAGGGAGGCCAGGAGAGGGGGCAGAAGAAGGGAATCCCCAGCGGATGCTAGAGGCACACAGGTCAGGCCGGGGTGCTGGAGACGAGGAGCCGGGCGCAGAAAGCAGGCGCCAGGTTCCCGCCCTCTCGGGCAGCACGGAGCATGCGCATTGGGCCACTCCGCCCCCTTGTCTCTAGGACGCGGCTGGCCTGCTGGGCGTCCCACGGGGTGGGACTGGGCTGTCCAGCTGCGCCCTGGGCTCTCGCCCTCCCGGGGAGGTAACTGCCGCGGAATCGGGCCACGTGGTCCGCGGTCTCCCCACAGCCTCGGATCTTGCTATCCCGGACCGCCCTCTTCCCCGCGGTCGCCCGGACCTGCCCGCCCTTCTCTCCCGAGCTCTTCCAGGCCTTCCCCGCCGGGTCCCCAGCACCCCTCGAGCTGTCCCTGGCATCTCCCAGGGGTCTCCGGTACCCGCGGTGTCCCCAGCACCTCTTAAGGGTCCGTTTTGACCTTAGCCAGTGACGAACGACGTGAGCAAGGAGGGATGGACGCAGTTTCCTAGTCTCGGTGGCGGAAACCGCAGAACTTGATTTATTCTCTTGGAATTGCATTCGCCGATTTGTTTTAAATAAAGGTACTCTTTTTTTTTTCCCCATCCCCATAGACTTAACGTATTACCCTGCTGATATATTTTGTGTGATTGAGCCTATTTTTCTTTATTCTTCTATGAAGTTTCCTGTTTTGCGATGCTTACTGTGTTATCTATACAGTAGCGTCAGTGTTTTGAGAGGCTTTGCAGTAGGCAGCAGAAGAGATCCTTGCTGTGTACCAGGAGGTAATTTTTAGACTTGTAAATGATGAACTGTTATGCATTCGATCCTGTATCTTGAAAATTTTGAGATCTTGAAGTGATTTGCTTTTTTTAAAAAAAAATTTATTTTTATTTTATGTGTATGCGTGTATTGCCTGCATGTAGGTAAGTGCACCTGTGTCGTGCAATGCCTGCGGAGGTCAGAAGAGGTTGTCGGATCCCCTGGGACTGGACAGTTGTTAGCTGCCATGTGGGTGCTGGGATTCGAACCCAGGTCTTCTGCAAGAACAACCAGTGTTCTTAACTGTTGAGCCATCTCTCCAGCCCCGTGACTGGCTTTTTAACCTTAACATTTTACCTGCAAAATTTAAGTGTACATCTGGAGAATTTTAAACAAATCATTGGCAGATTAAATACTTAAGTGTATACCATATCCTTCACATCCAGGAGTGGTATGGACTCATTTTTTAAAAATATAACTGTAATAGAATTAGCACACAAAACCCAAACTGACATCAGTTGCATTCTCTCTAGTACGGTCTATTAGAATAGTCACCAATAGAATCTAATGCAAATAGCCCACTTTTCATCAATGTTCTATTGATTTATATGAATCCAATCTTCTATTTTAATTCTTGGATTTTTTTTAATCCATTAGAATAGTTTAATGTTCATATTGTCCTCAGTTTGGTCAATTGAAATTCCCTTTCAGAATGATTTCTGTGTCCTCCCTCTTCCTGGACTCCAGCATACAGTGCTGCACTGTCCCTCTGAGAGATCATCCTCCGAAGGTTATTCCAGTAAGGGGCCATTCTGTAGATTCCATTCCTCATACCCTGACTGGGTTCTGACTCTGCATTCACACTGTGGTTCCACTTGAGTATCTTCTTCACTCTGCTTCAGCTCTGTGAGCCTCTACCAGAAGTATCCCTACACTTAAGTATGGAATGGGACTTGCCAGGCTCATCTTACTTTGGGCTGTCCCCAGGCTGTTTGTTTGTTTATTTATTTATTTATTTGTTTGTTTGTTTATTGTGCTGGGGATTGAATTTAGGAACTGTTACATGCCAAGCAAGTGCTCTACCACTGAACTGTATCCCTCTCCCTCTTAATATTTTACATTTTGAAACAGAGTTTGTT